CGCGAGGGAGAGTCGGGGAGCGTGGAAAAGCTGGGACCCACGCGGACTGATGTGACTTGGCCGGCTCAGCTACTCAGCTCAATCGGCTCGGCTCTCTCTCTCTGATGGGTTGTGCGGCTCGGCTGAGAGGCTTTGCTCTGGATGGTTGAAAATATGGCTTTCATGGCTTATTTTGTGTGACTTTTTACACTGTTTTTTATCTGTAAATAATTAAACAAAAACTAGACAAATTCCAATTAAAAATATTATGAATAAAAATAATGGAATTATTTAATTAAAGCTTAAATATTTTAATATTGTGTAAATCAAAAGCAATATTTAGGGTGCATTTTCATGCACTAATCACCTCCACCAACACCATCCTATCTTTGTAAAACAGTAGACCATTCTTCAGCGTATACCCTTCTATGATATCCCCCTGTTCTAGTTTTGATATAATTGCAACCCACCCTTGCATTTTTCGTTGTTCCAACTTAATAGCAGAAAAATCCCACGTTTGAGGTATAGTGAATGCAGCCAAGGAGACCTTAGCCCAGTCCCCTCTGCGGGATAATGCATCAGCCACCCTGTTGGAAGCCCCTACCTTATACTACACCTCAAAATCGTAGCCCAGCAGCTTATATACCCAGCGTAGCTGCTCCGGAGGAAGTTGGCGTTGACTCATTAGGAACCTCAAGCTCTGTTGGTCCGTACAGACCACAAAATGACGTCCCAAGAGGTAATGTCGCCATTTCTGGATTGCTAAAACCACGCCCATGAGTTCCCGTTCATACACCGATTTCAAATGGGACGAAGGGGCGAGAACTTTACTGAAAAAGGCAATGGGGCGATGAGCCTGCATCCCCGACGTGTCGGTCTCGACGACAAACTGTTTCGAAAAATCTGGCATAGCCAGAACCGGCAGTTGAGTCATGACTGCCTTGAGTTCGCTGAATGCTTATCCTGCGGCCTCTGTCCACATAAACCCCTTCTTCTTAAGCAGCTCGATTAGTGGCCTTGCAATCGTTCCATAGCCTTTAATGAACCGCCGGTAATAGCCGTTAAGTCCTAAAAACCCTCGCACCTCCCGAGCGTTGCTCAAGGGTGGCCATGAAGTAATGGCTTGGATTTTTGCAGGGTCGGCAGCCACTCCATGAGCTGAAATAATGTGACCAAGGTATTCCAATTGAGGCTGGCCAAAACAACACTTCGGCTTATTGGCAAAGAGTCGTTCGCGCTGTAAAACCTGAAGGACGGTGGCCAGGTGTTGGCGGTGCTCCTCCCAAGAGGTGCTCCTCCCAAGAGTGACTGTATACCAAAATGTCATCGAAGAATACAAGAACAAACTTCCGGAGATATTGCCGGAAAATGCGGTTCATGAGTGCTTGGAATGTGGCCGGTGCGTTCGTCAAGCCGAAAGGCATGACGAGAAACTCATAGTGGCCTTCGTGGGTGCGAAAGGCCGTTTTCTCGATGTCGATCTCATGTACCCGGATTTGGTGGTATCCAGCCCATAAATCTAATTTGGAAAACACTACCGCCTCGTGGAGTTCGTCAAGCAGTTCGTCGATCATTGGAATCGGAAACTTGTCCGGGATTGTCACGTGGTTAAGCGCGCGGTAATCGACACAGAACCGCCAACTCCCATCTTTCTTCTTGACTAGGAGAACCGGGCTGGAGTAAGGGCTATTACTCGGTTGTATGATTCCCAAGGCCAACATGTCCGTCACTAACCGTTCGATCTCGCCTTTCTGAATCTGCAGAAAACGGTATGGCCGGATATTGGGTGGGTCGGCACCCTCCTTCAGAATGATCCTATGATCATGTCCCCGGTGCGGGGGCAACCCCATGGGTGTATCAAATACTCCTTTGAAACTGTCCACGACAACTCAAACCTCCTGCGGCACCAAGCCGTCCCCCTGTCCCCGTGGCTGCTTCGAAAGTTCACAGACTTCAATCAACACCCCTGCCCCTGTTGGTGACAAAGTTCAGACCACGGAGCTCATCTTGGCCAGAGCGTAACACAAACTAGGGTCACCACGCCACACTACCCACGTAGGCCCAGCGCGGAATTTCATTAGAAATTTGGACCAATCCGCCCGAACTTCCCCTAGTGTGCTGAGCCATGAGACCCCTAACACCAAATCAGCACCCCCCCCCCCCCCCAACTCCAGGCGAAAAAAAAACACCACCACAACAAGTTCGAAGGGAAAAAAATTCTCAACCACCAAATGTCCCTGGATCCAAACTTTAATATCCCGGCAAATTCCCGTTCGTTTGATACTTACCCCATTCCCGACCAAAATATTGTTACTTACCGTGGAGTCCAATGGCAAGTTCGGCTCCTTCACCACCAATTCCGAGATGAAGCTATGGGTGGCTCCGCTGTCCACCAACACCACAACTTCCCGGCCTCCGATACGCCCCCGTAGTTTCATGGTTTTGGAAGAGGAGACCCCCCTCATCGAGTTCAAGGACAGGTCCATCTTTGCGTTCACGGCCTCTTTCCC